TGTTCCCAACCAGGAGGATGAGAGGACCTGTGAAAACTTCCTGAGACTTGAGAGGAAGTCAGCCATCACCCACCCCCAAACTTTTTTTTGCTGAGGAATCTGGCCACTGAGATCACGTCCGTGAACTTATAGGATTGGGGTGGGGGGTGGGGGTGGGGGTGGTCAGTGTAGGGCTCAGGAAAGTTTGACATCGACACGTGGAGGTTCCACATGTCCACCCAGCACCCTCATTACTTTCATTACCCATCATTTTGAAAGGGGGGTGTTTCCCCTCAATTTGAAAACAAAACTAAACAAAAACATCAGGCAGCAAGGTGAGAGGTGGCGTTTCGGTGCTCAAGGGAATTTGGAGAGAGGAAATTAGGTATTTTAGGCTCACACACAGAGGAATCTACAGCTTGGGCCCACATGTCCACAGGGCTGAGTTTCAAAGTGTGACTGACATTAAACATACCAAGTCCTCTAAGTCTGAGAAGAGGACACTTAGGAAAACTAGTTAATGGATCAGAGTACCAAAGGGCTGTCCCATCCTCCCTACACCCAACTAATGCATGTTTCCTCTGTGGAGATAGGGAGCTGGTTTCTCGAGATGGTGCCCACATTTTGACTAGAATAGGGGATCCTGGTGATCAAAATTAAGCAGGTAGAGTAACATGCTGATAAAATGAGAAACAAATGATGCCAGCCCAGGTGAGTCATTCTGTTGGTGCTACACGACTAAGACAAACCAAGAGTTCTAGGCTCCAGCTCTGGGTTAGGCTCAGAGTCCTGAAACGATGTTCAGGACATCAACAGGGTCAACTACACGCAGCCTGTCCTACCACCAATGTGGGTCCTTGGGAGGAACCACCCAACAGCATGTCATGCCTGAGGGCCAGCACCCAGGGAGCTCGCTGCCCACAGGCAACATTTCCAATCACCATACCTGCAGATGCCTGGAGGTTCACCTCAAGAGAAAGCCACCCAAACCTCAGAGGGAACATGACCCACAAGGTCATCTCTTCAGAACATGAGCCCAGCAGGGCACACATGTGCGGCTACTTCTCCCACAGCCCATCAGGATGGAGGGTTTCTTTAATGTCTCGTGTTCGTTGCTCAGACGTGTCCGACTCTTTTCAACCCCATGGACTGTAGCCCGCCAGACTCCACTGTCCACGGGATTTTCCGGGCAAGAATACTGGAGCGGGTTGTTATTCCCTTCTCCAGGGGATCTTCCTGACCCACAGATTGAACCCGGGTCTCCTGCGTTGCAGGCAGATTCTCTATGGTATGCGCCACCAGGGAAGCCCTTGGAGAGAACTGACAGTGGACAGAGCCAACGGCTGACAGCAAGCTGGGGGCTGGAGTTCTGGTCCAGAAACAAGGTGAGCGCACAGGAAGAGGTGGTGGTTTCTTTCACATCGTTCAATGGGCTCTGAAGATACGGCACTGCTCCGAGCAGGGGGCAACCTCCAAGGCCTGAAAGCCCAGTGGGCCCAGGGGACCCACCCGCAATCAGCTCACACATTCGTGTGGACAGACCCTGGGGTGTACCCGAAGACAGATGCCTGGTGCACCCCATCCCCCAGAGGCACCTCCCACCAGGCACACATGGGTGAGAGTTAGCGTTGAGTTAACACAGAACCATCCTGGCCTTTGAGAAGAAATACAGTCCTGGCTTTGAGTACTACTGGCAAACACTATCCCTGAAAATTTCAGAGTAGCAGGGCAGGAGAATGTCAAAGAAATTCAAGTTTCTGGGAGCCCATGTGTAAGAATTACTTCTCAACAAGGCACACGTAACTACAGTTTTCCTTAAAGACCTCCAGTGCTTCTCCGTGTGTGCCTAAAGCATACATTTTCTAAGAAATGTAATTATCTGACATTTTTGTATGAAAGTCAAAGTGTTAGTCACTCAATCATGTCTGACACTTTGTGACCCCATGGACTGCAACCCACCAGGCTCCTGTCCATGGGACAGTGGGGAGCATATTGATGGATCCCCTTGAAAATCAGACAGACAGACTCCCCAACACTGAGGCAAAGGCCTCAGCACACAACAGTCATTGGTCCCCAACAGTCACATAGCAGGCCAGGCTCCCCCGAAACACAGATGCACTTGAGGAAAACAGGCAGCCCATCATTAAAATTACCACTAGGATAACAGAGTGTTCTTGAATCTGCATGATTGCTTTATTGTACAAAAAGTTTCCAGTAACAGTAAATTAGTTTTCTAAAAAGGACAAAAAAAAAAGTTGTTTTGGATAGAAGCGCTTCACTAATTGCTTTATTTAAGCACACACACACACAAAAGTCTTATCTGACCAATTAGGTTGGAAGGTTTTTATTACCTTTAAGAAGCCATTAGCTAGGATAAAACACTGAAAGCACTTGTGTCAAAACAAATAAATAATGCTCTCTCAATTAGCAGAGACTGCGGTAAATTCGTTAGAGATGAACACGGCTTCACGCCCAGGGTCGGCAAGTCAGCACCTCCCCCCACCCCAAATTAATAGAACAAGAGACAGTAGTGCTCAGTTCCCATCTCGGGAAAGATCAGGAGCTCCAGGGACCTGACAGGCAACGTCTGCGGGTCCCCTCTCCAGCCCTGGTCAACAGAGCCACGCAGGCCACGTCACTGAGGGCAGGGTTCCAGGCTGAGCCTGGAGGTGCCCTCCCGGCGATGAGGGCAGAGCCGGGAGGGGCCACCTTTGCCACCAGAGCCACAGGCGAGACGAGGAAAGAGAGGAGGACCCTCAGGTGCCAGGACACTAATCGCTAACTTCCCCCTCCAGCCTGCAGTGCTGCTGACCTGTCCCCAAGAGGAGGCTCAACAGAACAAGACAGAGTTTCATGGAGCCTGGCAAGTTGGAGCACGTGCTCCAGCTGCTGCTGGCCTGGGGACACAGTGATGGCAGCAGATGGCTGGGCTTCAGCTGGTGCTGCCAGGGATCCAGTCAGAGGGGGCAGCCGTTGGGATCCCACACAGGATCCTTCAAGCCATCCCTAGTCAGATTCATTATTTTACCCAAAGGAATTGGGTAAAAAAATCCAACTCATCACCCTGTTCACTAAAAATAAATACAAATAAATAGTGATCCTTTCTTAAAGGATTACGTTCCTTAGAGGGTCAGTGAGCCTGAGCACTGGAAAAGCTCCCACAATAACCCTTAACACCAACCACTCCAGGCTGTCTAGGAGGGGAGCCCCTCATCTGGACAGACCCCCATCCTGGGAGCAGCTTGACTCCCTGAGCTCAAAACCACTGAGGCTAAAGAGCCTACAGCTGCTCTCAAGGACCAAGGAAGCCCCCACTTCAAGGGCAACTGAGGAGGGGCTGGACCTCATTCCCAGCCTTCCTCCCTAGTAAGTAGCTGTCAGGGAATGCCATGCTACTTCCCGATATGCCAGGGACGCCTTTAGATCACCCCATGCCCACGTCAGGAACAGGGAACCAGGGACTGTCCAGCTTCATGAACCACTTGGGACAGAAAGGCTGGGCAGTGTCTGGGTTTTAAGCACATGACCTGTTTGGACAACTTGAATCTCAGGGTTTGAGTTTAAATTTCTGGAAATAACTTCAAAGTCAATTCTAGAGAGACAGGTTATGTGACTGGTCCAAATAAAACATAGCACACTTAATGAGGTCATGCTCTTTTAAAACATTTTACAAGAGGTAAAAACAATGGAAAGCCATCAAAAATGACACAAAGACCATTAAAAAAAAACTATACTGGTGTCTCAAGACCCATTAAAACATGAGCAACTTCAGGTTTCAAAGTTATCATCACTTTCCACATTACTCCACAGGTCCAGGAATATGTTTGAGCACCATATTGATAATAGGTAAGTGAACCACAAAGTCCTGCTTTGGAGACCAGATTCATGCTCACACAAATGAGGGGTTTTCTGAGCCAAGATTTTCACAAATGGCAGGAATATGCCTACCTTCTGGGCATGTTCAATGGCAATGGAAGGGCCAATAAATCAAACCAAGTGGGGGAATATTTTACTTTGAAATGGAGTCATGTTTGGTTAATAATTTGAGACCCACTAATCCTAAATGGGGTGACCCATTTAAAATGGCCTCTGTGTAAATTCACAGTCCATTAAGTGGGGTCTGGCTCGAACAGGTCTTTATGCAGTTATTATATAAGTAACGGACTGAGCAAGGATGGCTGGGGACGGGCACGGGGACACACCGACCACCTCTGGTGACTCTTCCGACACTGCCGAGCGCCCTTTTGATGTGAGGTTCTTTCAAATCATCAACTTTTGCATTTGGGTGGTTCTGCTTAGTAACCCCTTTCGGTTTACAGGAGAAAATGCAGTGCACAAATCTGAGATGAGGAATACTCCATTTACAATTAATTTAAACTTATGAAGCTGTTTTAACTGGCCCATCTAAATGTGTTAATTAACATCGATGATGGTTTCTTATTTTTCACACTTTGTTACTCTGATCATTAACAGTGATGGAAAAGTTAAATTAAGTTAATGGGGAACGGATTATAAATTCTTAAAGGATTTCTCAGTTTGTTTTCAACTGGAAAATATATAGACAAAGATGAAGAGGCATTTTTGCCTCTACGCATAAATTTCTGGTACCAAATTTCTTAAAAACCAGATGGTTTAAAAAAATTTTTCCAAAAATTCTTTTAACATGCTGCTCAAACATGATTGCTTAGAAAAAAAAAAGAGCATATACAGGTATGATACATCAAACAGCGTGAGGAGGCCTGTAAACATTCAACTGATATTTTCTTTCTTAAAAAAAAAAAAAAAAAAAAAAATCACTGAAGTGAGAACTCATCTCTATTCCGCAGCAGTATCCAAGGTCCTTCACATCTCGACAATGAAGGAGAACAGATGCCCCTTCCCCTCGCGTGAGCACGACCGGGCCGAGGAGTCCATGGGGCCGCCACCGCCCCGGCTAGGCCAGGGCCGTACCTCTGCCAGAGCCCACGGGCGCCGGGCCTTGTACCCGGGGCCACGTGCCGCACACACCAACCCAACGCTGCTCAGTGAGACTTCACGCCGACGAGGACAACAATGAGGACAATGATGATGACAAGTAATATTAAAATCACAAGCATCTTCCGATTCTTCTTTTGATACTGCTCTGCCTACAGAAAGAGGAGGGAGAAAAGGTCGTCATTCTCTCCAAAATCAAGTCTGGCTTGTTTCTAGTCCTAGCTTCTGGCTGTACCCGCACACCCGACACCTCTGCCACCGGCTTCACCAGCACAATTGTTGCCATTAACTCCTAGGGTCCAGTCGACTCCCATGGCTCCCGAGTTCCCTACCTATAGGCTTCACAAATCACCTGCTGGGAATCCACCATCACCTGAGGGCCACGGGAGAAGTCCAAGGCTCTGCCTTCAGCTCCACACAGCCCACCTCTCCTCACATCCCCCTCCACCAACCACAAGGGCCCAGTCTTTCTATGGAAGCCTCTTGCTTCCAGACACGGTTCTCTGAAGGTACGCACAGCTCCTTCATTGAGAAGTCAAACTTCTGGCTCCAGTGACCCCAGCCAGAAAGGAGAGAACTGAGGGCCCCAGAAAAGCTCTTCTACCTCTTCTGAGTCTGCAAACAAGAAGAAATTCATCCTTGGAAGTATTGAGTTGGACAAAAAAGTTAATTCAGGTTTTTCCGTAAGATGCTATAGGAAAACCCAGACAGACTTTTTGACCAACCCAACAGAAACAGGAAAGTTGCCCCATGGGGGCAGGTGCAGAAAGAAACCACCTGAGTTGAGTCATCCTGTGTGTCTAGTGACACACGCCTATTGTGCCGGAACAAGACCCAGAGAAAGGAGAGGGGAGGAGACAGTAGCAAAAGTATCCCTGAGCACATGGGGAGAGCACATTCCCCACACTCCTGTAGGCAGCACCGCCTCACAGCAAAGGTGAGGGCAAAGATGAAAGTGAAAGCAAGGAGGAGACAGCTTGAGGGCAGCGCGTGCTCGGAAGGCCCAGCCTCCCCTGCTCACTTCCCCATCCCCACCAACCTTCTGACCAGCAGTTCTGTGTCCTAAGTGAGCCCTCCCATCCTCCAGGAGCCACTCATCCACAGGAGGAAACCTCAGGACACGTTCACCTGTCTGGAGAGCCTGGCCCGGAAGAAGTGACTCCAAGGCCCCCACAAGCCTCAGATGAGCCGACCGCCAAGGCAACGGCCAGCCAAGCCCGAGAGAGGACAGTATGTGCTCACTCTTGTAGTCAGTAATCACCACTGAAACCGACACCAGGTGATATACTTATTTAAAACCTCTCAAAATGATTTATAAAGTCGAACCTTAAACAAATTTTTTAGTTCCCACTGGATATGTACACCCCCGCAGAGAAAGCTTTTCCCCTTTATCTCTGTTGAATTACAAAACATGTTTTGCTAGTTTTTATTTAAGAAACTTCAAAAGTGATGCATAATTCAACAGCATATGAAGGCCCAGATATTACCGAGTGAGAAACTAAAGTTAGCTTTCACATTTTTAACACATAAAATGCGGCAACCAAATGAACTGAATGCTTAAAAAATTAAAAAGCCTCCTGTGTCCACAAGGCAGACCTCCTCTTTCTCAGTGTCTGCTGGCGTCCCACCCACTACCACCCTGCACATGGTAACAAGCATACAGAAGAGGAAGGTGAGCGTTTCTGGCCAGACCTGTGCGAGGCCTCACCTTCCGTAAACCTGACACCGCGGTCAGATGCGGTCACCTCTACCACAGGAAGTGACTGGTCTCAGAGAGATGATAGAGAAGTACATTAGTGAATCGAGACTATCACCACCACACATGGCTAAGAGTACCACTGTCTATGAGGGGATGGACAGAATTTACTTCATCTGTGAAGTATTTCATTCCTTCTAAAGAAAACATGCACCCTATTATATATAAGAGTCACGCAGCAGTGTACATATGTGTTTCTCATGGTTGATTACAAGGTTTTTAAAGATGTTTTCCATTTATTTTTAACAAACATCATGAAAAACATTCTGGAGACAGCCATCAGATTATTAGCAAAGAATGAGAAAGCTAATACTCTCACTTCAACAGACTACTCTCTCCTCAAGGTGGTACACAGATATACTGTGGTAATTAAAAGAGAAAATTAGATTTTTATCTTCTCCAGAATGAATCCCCACCAGCAATTCATCAGAAAAGTATCACAACAAGGGAGGTCTGAGTCAGCAGCTACCAGCAGACAGAATGTGCAACACGGATTTTAACAAATACCCACTCGATCGATTCCCTAAAACAAGAGGGCCTAGCCAAGGAATAAAATATTTTCTAAAAGGAAGAAAACCCCGACTCTTTCAGAGTTTGCTGTCACAGAAGGGGGTTCTCAGCAACTTCAACTCTGCATGTGGGGTGCACCGGGATTCACTAACTTCAGGCAAATGGCCACAGCCCACATGGTGGGCTCTGAATAACATGACAGGCTGCATTTTCACAGCCCCATCTAGAGCTGATGACAGAGGAAAGTGCCGGGGACAGTTAAGACAAAAGACAAGCCCTGTATGAATTCTTGATATGGGAAAACAATTCTTCAAATTCTCAGCCACTGAAAAATATGCCATTACCTTGTGGAGCTGTTTCAAGCCGTCTTCAGTTTTGATACAGGACTGCTCAACATTATAGTCGATTCTATCAAGGACGGTACCCTGGGTGATAAATGACAGTCACAATCAACAAGCGCAACTGGGAAAATGGAGCTTCAGAAATGAGAGATGCAGATTGCAGGCATCGTCATCCACAGGATTATCTGTCCTGCTTGACTGTGGGGTAAAGGGACACCCTGTCAGCTCTGGAGTCCATCACCAAGCAGAGTGAGGTGCTGGGTGGCAGAGTGCCGCCGTCAGCTGCAGGGAAGCCCAGCTCACGAGAAGAAAATACTGACAAATTGAGGTTTCTTTCTTGGATTTGGCCACTACAGGATACTCCATATTCAGGCTTACTGGGGCTTTAAGAAATATATGGTTCAGTGGAAACAAGCTCTGAGTGGTGAAGGGCTTGCTTCTGTGCCCGTCTGTGGCTTAAACTCGCAGGTTCAAGGAAGCAGAGAAGGCCAGTTAAGCCAGGACTGATTAGAATGAGGTCTGGAAACTGACTATCATGTCTGAACATCTCCACGCGCCTCCATGGGTTAGAGCAAACACAATTAGCTCCAACACACCATGTAAAATCACACATTCGCCTCCAGGAAAGTTTTGCTTGTAATTTTTTAATTGCTGAGTTCAAACAGGAAGAAGGGAACACCAGGCTCCATGGAAGAAGGGGGCTCTGAACAGAAGTGTGCTGCGTCGGGAGAGACGGCAGCACGAGCAGTTCCGTGAGAGCCCCAGGAGTAATTAACTTAACTAGATCTTCCACAGCCTCGTCTGCTCCAGTCTGCAGCTGGTTTCGGGGGATCAGGACCCAAATCCCCACTGGCAAGATAATAAAACACCCTAATCAGATTGTAACAGTGAACAAACAATCTAATTCTACTTGAGGGCTAGTGGTTCCAGTTGCTGTTACACAATAACCTGCCAAAATTAGATGGGAAAACTTATCCATCGTCAGAATCACCGCTGAGCGTGGACAGAGCCAGCCAGGCCCCCGGCATCAGGTGCTCCTGGGAGCAGTCCTGGGATGGAGGCAGAGAATGTGAGCACTGTCACGGACACCTGTTTCTCATCTAAGAAATAGTTTATTAGTGTTTTTATGGGGCATGACAGGAGTCTGTATATAATTTGTACACATATATACATACACACATACATAGTGAGTCGGGAAAATTCCCTGGGAAACGGCAACCCACTCCAGGATTCTTGCCTGGGAGAATCCCATGGACAGAGGAGCCTGGCGGGCTACAGTCCATGGGGTCACCAAGAGTCGGACATGATTGAGCACACACATTGTATATACACAGAAGGAATGGGTTCCAACTGCTTTCCTGACAAAAGTGCAGAATCGAAAAGCCTGGGGAAGAATGAGGTATCAGGGCAGGAGAGCCCACTGACGAGGCGGGTAAACACACACACCTGTTCTACGATCATGGCTCCCAGGTCCCTGAATATCTCGTTCAGGTCGGAGATGGACTGCACGATCTGGCGGATCTCCCGCTCCCGCTCCTCCACCAGCAGCGTGTTCTGCTCCACCAGCACTAGCTGCTCGTCTGTAAAACCCTAGCCAGACAAAGAGGACAAAATGTGCACATTAGAATTCTTCCCAAGAAAGTGATGGCGTGCCATTTTAGATATAACTTAAAGAAAACAAAATCTGAAACTATTTCTATAGAGCATATAACACACAAGCACTTATTTTTCCCTAACAAGAAAGATCTGATCTCCCTGAATCAGTGGGCTCTAAAGCATCACCAGCCAAAGCAGGGGTCACAGAGAACCTCTTGTCTACAGCTGCCCCAGGTCCAAGTGGCAAGAGCACCAGGGAGAAGCCCGCACGTCTCAGGGTTCTTCCGGGAGTGGGGTGTGCAAACTGCTTCCCAAAAGGTTCTGGAAGGCAGCTAACAGGGTCTCCCTGCAGTTTTTGGAAAGGAAGAAACAGTATGGCCCCCATGACTGTTCTCCCACCAGCTGCAAAGCACTTGATGGATGTGCACACCACGTAGTGCCGATCCATCTGCATCTCAGGGAAGATAAAGGTCCGCTAAGAGAAGGGAACAGAGCGGAGGGCACGTGCGCAGCGGGCGGGTCTGCGGCCCCGACACATACCCGGTCATACAGAGTATTATCCTCGCCATCGTCCATCAGCGGTACTGATGTAGCAAAAAAATGCTGGGATCTTTCCTCTCGATTCTTCATGCCTATCGTGGACAGGAATTCACTTTACTTGAATACGTAAACCATCCTGGTTACTGTTCCACCATTAAAAGGGGGTATCTAGAGTAAAACTCAACAGTCAAAATGGAGACATTCTTAGCCACTTTAGAAGCAGCCCTGCTCACCTCCAGCAGAGGTGGGGGACAGTAAAGGACCACAACCATGCAACAGCAGGCAAGCATTCAGGGTTACTTAGGACAGAAATCACACTGCAAATGTGAACAATTCACTGGATGCCAGGTAAATGACAATGTAACATAATCATCTGAGACTCTCTAAAGTGAAGCAGAAACATTTAACTGCTGTTAAAAAGCATTAAAAAATTAAGTATTTCTCTCTAAAAGTATCTCTGGTAAGAATTCCAAGTGGCCCTAATAAAATTTTAGAAGTAGTAAACTGAAAGCACAAATACAAATATGCCAGCTGCCAGCACGGAGAAGTAGCTTTTGGGGGAGCCTATGGGGATATCATTGATTTGATTACAATAGCAATACAGAAAAAACCAGTTTATGGGTGCTCTAAATGAGGATGTAGCTGAAACCTGACTTCGCACTATTTGGGAAGGAAGGGAGGCTGGGAGAGAATGTGTCTGCTTTAACTATTCCCAGGTAAGGTGTTCAGACAGATAGGCAAATATGAAGCTTCAACATGATTCCAACTATTTTTATCCATTTATCAGCAGCTCCCACAAGCCTAACACCTAGAAAACGATAAGCTTCTAAAATATGCTAGATTGATTTTCGAATACTTTAAACTTGACAAAAGGGTAAGTTTCTCTTTTGTTTTTTTATAGGAGGACTGTCAATGCCCCATGGGGTGGCCTCAGTCTGGATGTGGCTCCCACCGGGGGCAGGAGGAGCTACTTTCTCCCCCGTGCGGTAGGAGGATATGCCAAGGCAAAGGACAAAACAGAGAATGAACAGAAGAGGAGGCCAGAGACACAGAGCTGCCCCGTGACCCGAGCGCTGGGACGCTCGTCACTCAAGAGCCTGGTGCGGGTGGACACTCACGTCGGAGGTAGCCGGACTGTGCGTGCCGGAAGCTGGTGGACAGCTCCTGCAGGGCCTGGGCCAGCGAGGCCACCACGTTTCGGAGGAGCCGCTCCTCCTGTTCCGAGCAGGCCCGGCGGGCCCGGCTGGGTAGCGCCTGCACCGCACGCTGACACCTATGGAAGAGCTGGGAGGACAGGGGGCGCTCACAGTGGGCCGGGGGCCCCAAGATGCCTGCATGCCGGAGTGAGACACACAGCGGCTCTGGCCGCACAGGTTGGCGCTGAGGATGGCCAGGAAGTCGGAGCTGAGCCAGACCCGAACAGATGCTGTGTGTGCACATCCCATGTGCATTGCTCCTCACAGCCTTCTCATTTAATCCCGAAAGCCACCCTAACTAGGTATTATTATCATCATTTCCACTTTACAGATAAGAACACCAGGGTCTGAGGAGTTAAATGAGAATCATGTTACTGTTAATTGCTAAAAGCCAGGACCCAAAAGCTCTTAACACCCCAGGGCTTCCCCACCCACCATGCCCCATCTCTGTGCAGCAGCAACCCAGGAGGTGTAAACAAATGAAAAATGTAACTGCTTGTTTACACACTAGTCACACTGCTTTTTAAGATTTTTAAAGTATCTTTTTAAAAAGGCTTTATTGAATTTGTTACAATACTGTTCCTGCTTTATGGTTTTTGTTTTTTTTTTGGCAAGGGGGCATGTGGGATCTTAGCTCCCCCAAACAGGGATGGAACCCATGTCCCCTGCGTTGCAAGGCGGATTTTTAACCACTGAAGCATCAGTGAAGTCCTGAGTCTCGTTATTTTAAAATTACTCAAGTTTAACATTTTACAAGAGACACTTCCAGGAGGCTGAGTTTCTCTGGGATATTAAGAGATTCAGTCTGGGCAACAGCTCCCCATCTGTTCAATTACAACTACCCTTTTTTTAAAAAAAAAAAAACAAGAAAAAATTTGCACACTAGTATACAATAGAAGTTACACATCTTAAAATCAAATGATTGAACTCAATAATGCTCTGAATTTAATTTTCAGATCAATCCACAGTAGTACTTAAGAACAATCAAAAAACAGTCCCCACTCCCGCAGGAAAAGGAGTGCAGATGCTGAAACCTGGAGGAGCTCAGGGCCTCCTGGATCCCTCTGTGAACTTCAACCTGGGAAGTGAAACTCTAGGACTCATTTAGCACTGTACCGTGGCCTGGCTTTTGAGAGGGTGAGGAGGGCGGGAGACCAAATTCCCACCTGAGGACCCCTTCCCCCCTCACCTGCGTGATCTCCTGTGTGGTTATCTCGATGGCATGCTCCTGCTCACTGCTGTCATCCAGGGTAGGTCGGTTTAAGTGCTGGTCATGAAGGCTCGCTAACTCCTTCATCTTCTGTTTAATCCGCCCAACATCATACTGTATCTAAACAAATGAAATCCCAGAGCTCCACTCTCCCTCCAGGTGTCTGTCTGCCTCTGAGACAACCAGCTACACTCAAGAGTACGGAGCTCAGTCTTCAACCAACTCATCGTTGACTGAGCAACCTTTAATTCAAACCACCAGACATTCAAATACCACTCTTCCTGGTTACACAGTTCTTCAGTTTCTTTCTGTAATTCAGCTGTTGTTTAGTCACTAAGACATGTCCAACTCTTATGCGACCTCATGGACTGTAGCGTGTCAGGCTCCACTGTCCATGGGATTTCCCAGGAAATAACACTGGAGTGGGTATCCATTTCCTTCTCCAGGGTATTTTCCCGACCCAGGGATCAAACCCGAGTCTCCTGCATTGGCAGGAGGATTCTTTACCACTGAGCCACCAGTTACTACTAAAACCAAAATCACAAGCATCCCACAGACACACACACCTTTCTTGTGGTGTGTGACCTGAATAATTCTAAAGCTAACACACTTAAAAGGACATGCATTCAAATATAGCCAAATCAATCTTTATGCCAGATATCTTAAAACATGTTAATGTTATAATTACCTCAATAAATAAGAGTGTGAAACAAACATTCCACTTACTTCATCCACTCCATCCACCCATTTAGGAGGGGACCGCTTTGTCACACCAATTGCGGCTTCTGGGTCTAAGCTAATGCCTGACACCAGAGCCATGCGATCATCAGCGAGCTACAAAGAAATAAAGGGACATTAAAAAATGATTCAAATTCAGTCCAGACAAGCACACTCTTACTCCATTTTAAATGTCGCTCACTAAGACACAGAAATAGAGGAGCAAATGCACTTGCCTGGGTTACAAACTTGCTTTTGATACTGCTAGGATATGGAACTGTTTTCCTGTCTTTCCACGTACCACTTCTTAATTTCCTTGGACATACTTGTGAATATGAATTTGACTTGATCTGGCTTTGGAAATGTCATGAAAAAGTCAACAAGAGACCCTTAAAAGAAAAACCTTAGTATTGTACTATGACGGGATGGCATGAAACTCAGCAATTCATTTGATCAGACACGTTAAAAAAGAAAACATTCTAGGCTGTAAATGGAACGAACAAAAACATTTCAAGGTTTACTTACAGACACTTAGCTTATTTCGTAAATAGGGCTGATCCAGGTATCTTAGTCACAAGATCATTAACCAGGTGTTAAAATGTGTGAAAGAGCTGCCTAAAACAGCCAGCAAGTTATCTACCATTTGGCAAAAGCAATCCTTAACATCTCAAGGCAATCTTACACTCATTCCCTTTCTTTGGTTAAATGTCCACAGGTAGCATTTTCCCTCATTTTCAAATGATCTCCATAGTACTTGTTTATTTTACCTATGTAATACACTGCCTTAGAAAGCTTTTAAGAATGGGAGGGAAATCACAGGTTTGGTGTGGTTAAACTGTTCTATTGCCTGGAGGCAGTGAACAGCTGAAAGGATCTTGAGGTACCCCTCCAGAGTTCAGAATTTATAAATGCCAGTTTCAAAAGATACAAATGATGATCAGAAAATAATGGAAAACAGCATATAAAAGTCTGCTACAGGTAGGACTTTGTACATTTTCTAAATCGCACTGCAGAACTGGGTAGAGAATGTATATTGTTTTTCTTCACCCCTCCCTGCATTTATCTAAATTTATTTTTTCAGTCATTCAGCAAATACTGTTTTTTTCCCCTAACAATAAAGGAACAAGGCAAAATTTTTAACATCCTCGGATGAAGGGGGTAAAAAAAAAAAATCACATAAGGAAAAGCCTAAATCAAAAGAATTCTTCAAGCAACAAGCCCCAAACCCGGAACAGGGAGATTACAGCAAAATTCCTAAAAGCACATTGGAGTCTTGCGTCCGGCTCTGTCACAGCGGGGGAGGCACTGCCCCCGCTGGCTCAGGGGGCGCGTCTGACGCAATGCCCACGCTGAAGGGACCAGCCGCCCCAGCAGTGCTCCCCGGCATCTGAATCGTGATCAGGCCCAGCGCCTTCCGCAGCAGCGTGGACCCTGCAGGGCCAGTGCCGTTTCAGGTCCTGAACAAACGGTGCGTCACCCCACCTGCGCTATCGGGGCTCTGCGTCTGTGCTGTGTAATTCTCAACCACAGCCACCTTGTTTGTTTTTAAGAGTTCACTAATAGGAATTTTACCTTCCTTTTATTATTTTAACCCTCACACAAGCTAGGTGAGCTAGAGGCTATTATTCCAATCTATAAATGAGGAAATTGAAACCCAGAAAAGTTAACTAGTTTGCCCAAGGTCACAAAGCTATTATGTGACAGATTAAAACCTAGGTTGGCTGACTCCGGAAGCCCCAATCACCCCACCAGCTGCCAATCACTGTGGCAGGCCCATGAAATACAACTGCAATTTGCTAAGAAAATGTTATCAGGATAACAAGCCCTCACCTTCAAACAACAACAACACAAGACACAGTCCTCAGATCCATTTCCCACCAGCGACAACAGGGACCACAGGATAGGCTCAGCTGAGCACAGAGGCATGGACAAACTGGCCTCTGCAGATCCAGCCCCTCACCCCACACACAGCTGTGTATTCCTCAAAACTCCCCCCAAAGCCACCGAGAACCGTGCAACCTTGTAGTGGGAACAATGACCAAACCAAAAGTGACAAACCACAGACCACCACCCAGCACCTGCTGGCTGGACAGCAGGCACTGGGCACAGAGCTGCTGCCTAACTGGAGCAGAACTTAAACCTCCAGCTGTTCACACAAAGCGACACCTGTGGGTCACAGAATTTCCACTGTGCCAGTTTATCATCTAACACACTGCATGTTACTATTGCACCAAATCTCAGTAAAATAGTAGTAACTTGTTTTATTAAGAGATTCTAAACTCACAATTTTGTACTGTTGTGACTGTTAACCAAAATACACTAAACCAAAAAAAAGATACAGAGACAGTGTTTACCTAAGTTTATCTGCACAGTAGTAACTGGTATCAATTTCTCTGAAACAAGTGAGAAATTTTTATAATTCACATATGAAGTCAGTTGAAATGGATTCAACTCTTAAGCAGTATTTCGTTTTACATAATAGATGTGTGTCTCCCAAAAATGCACATAAGAGAGTGTGCACACACACACCCTCTTCAGGGGTCTCAGGGAAGCTTGCTGGGGGCCAAGGGGAGGGAAAACTCCCCAGCTAGCCAGCCCCAGCTTTCCCACAGGTTGTATCAGGATTGTGCCAATGAGACAGAACAGCTGATTCTCTGAGACTAAAAAATTTATAAACAGGGAATAATTTGTCCCCTTTATGATATCGTCTATAGCAAGAGTTTATCATGATAAAGAAAAGCAGCCTTAAAAGAAAAGTGTCATTTATTTGATCAGAATTGGCTTGTAATATGTATCACAGTATGTACCATTTTTTAATAAAGGCTGTTTTAGGAAGGGAAAATCTAATGGAAGGTAGCTGTCAATTAAAACTGGGAATATGAACATTAAAAAAATACATTTTAAATGCAAAACAATCACCCTTTCAACTTCAGAAACCTCACTTCCCATTTCAAGGTTTTCTCATTTTTAAGATCCAAAATATGTCCGTTTCCGAGCTGCTATCCAAGTCAACTCAGGCCTGAAAAGCTGTCATGTTTCCACTCCCTCTACTTGCTGCTGTTCCATTCCATGTCCCCCCAGTGAGGAGACGATGATGGTCACTAAAGCTTTTCTTAGCAAACTTACGCTTCTGAAGTTAAAAAAAAAAATCTTTCCATGTTCTTTAAATAAGAAAAAATATATAAAATTGTACTCATGAGAATTACGAATTTAAGAATCCTTATCTCTGTGATTTGTAACTCATGTCCTCTAAGAACTATAGGGCATGTGACCCCACTCCAGAGCTACCCAGCTCTACTGCATCCATGCAGGAAAATTTCAACGGTAGCTCACAATGGCACGCCGACAGGCTGCTTGTTCAGTTCATCAGAGTTATCGCTGCCCTTGGTCCACTTCAGACGTTGACAACTGTCCCTTTAAAGAACACCTGACAGCATGGACAAGTGCTTGATCTATGGATAGAAAACACACACACACACACACACACACACACACACACGAACACAGTCTTATAAATCTTGCTGTTCCAACTATACAGCCTTCCTCCTCTTATAAAACCCGACCTTTACGAGAAGGCTGATTTAGTGTTCCATAAGATTAAGGCTATGCAAAGCCTCTGGAGAGATTAGAAAAGTCAAATATATCCACACACACATGCACACTCATCTAAAAAAAATAATAATAAACTAAGTTCAGTCATAATGCACTGGTAATAAGAACCAATACTGATAATTCTGGATCGTTTGCAGCAACACACATTTAGAAAGTCCAGAAGGGACGTTGACCAACACCGCCTGGTGGCTCTGGTTTCCACCTGAGACAAGGTGGGCATGTACATGGTGCAGTCAACTCACTGTGCTGGGATGGCTAACAGACATTTAAAGCTGAAGAAACCTCCTTCCTTTGAGGGAGTGAGGAAGCACGTTGTATAAAAGAGTTGGGGGCTATCAGCACCACAGTTTTTTCCTTCTAATCTGTGATCGTTTTAAAATAGTGTTTACCTTTTCTGATTATGAAAGAATAAATGTTCAAGACAGCCATTATTTTACGTGTGCAAAAAATACAGAATTAAAAATTCTGACAACGCACCACCCAGATAAAATGTTGCTAGGTTCACTAACCTTCCTTTTCCCCCCTCAACTTTCATATACAAACTTAAAAAAAAAAAGGAAGCAACTTGTCTGAACCCCAACTTTCAGCCCAAAGACAGACGGCTCCCTGTTCCTCAGACACGGATACCAAGGGGCTGAGACTCCCCTTCTCAATGCTGCCCCCAGCAGGGGGACCAGGGAGCCCGCCCGTGCTGGCTGGCCAGCGCTCCGGCCACTTCACCCTGCCCTTCCCAGGCTATGTGGCTTGGGAACCTGATGCTTACATCTTGTAATTTTAAAAATCATTCTTCCTACGAATTAAAAAATCCAACATTTTGGGAGACCACTCTGTCTAAGGCCAGACACTGGGCAGGGGAGTGATGGGGGTGGGGTTCTCCTGGAGCACCCCTTACTTGTTTCTGGAGAAGAGCAGAGCCTGGCATCCCCAGGGTGCAGCTGATTTTCAAGGTGACTTGAGAAGGAGAAATGACAAACCCATGTGGCCACCATGACACAGTCAGGACAGTGTGCTTGGGCCTCACTGATACAGGGATGGCCTCCATTGGACCCACGTCGGGGGCAACTGAAAGCCCGACTGCGCCCTGGCAAAGTTGGGACTCTGGACACTGTTCCCAACACACGGCCCCGCTTCTTGCTCGGCACCAGGCACGCAGTTGTAATAAACACACACTCATAATTAGGGTGTGAGTCAACAATAAATGCAATGAATGAATGAAGTAAACATAAGACATGTCATGTACAATTCACTCCATAGCTGACATGCTGACTCTGGACAAAGGACAAGAAGGGGAAGTGAGCGGGTGGCGGGCTGAGGGGCCATGCGGCCCCAGAGTGGACAGGCTGGGCCTCCGGGCATGTGGCCGGAAAGGTGGCTCTCCACTCTGGGTCTCTGCTTCAGAATGTGGCAAAGAGAACTTGGGGTGGGGCGGGGGGAGCCAGCGTCTGGAACTTGCTGCCTGAAGAGGAAGTAGGAGAGCCTGGAAATAGGTTCAGACGGCAGAGCCCTCAGCAAAGATGACCCTGAAGAGCCGAGTGGGAGAAGTGTTCAAACTGAGGCCACTGTGGCTGTTTCCCCAGCACTGCCCCCCCCCCCAACCAGGGCACACTTCTTTTTGGGGGCCACAGGTCCCACGTTTCCAAACCACTCAGTAAGGGCAGCACCCACTCCTAGGTGGATGGGTTTGGTTTTCAATACTAATTGGTTCTTAATGACTCAAGCAATAGACATGCATGGTTTAAAACTATTTGCCCGACCTAAGAAAACAGTCGGCAGTTTCCCTTCCACCCCAGGCTTCCTGGAAGTTGCCCATTGTCAACAGCTTCTTGTGTCTCTTTTCAAAAATCTCTTAAAAGTGCTCACAAGCCTGAATGTGAGTTATTTTTCTTAAAACATAAATAATTTTTTTTTAAAGAGTGGGAATTGCAGTATCCATCATTATACATCAGGCTTCTTCCCACGTGGCCGTGTATCTGGGAGCTCATTGCCCTGCAGGCCTGAGACAGGAGCAAGCGAGGCTATACACTTCATGTAACCAGCTCCCTGAGAAGGATCTTCAGGCTGTTTCCCATCTGCAGTTATTATCAACAAGTAAGGGACCCCACTGGTTTCGAAGACAGTGGGCCTAACCCCACCTCACAGTCCATACTTCTAAATTAAAACAAAAACCAGGGACACCCTCCCACCCTCAATTTTAAAAGGGCCCTTTTAAAAACGTATATCCCGAGGAAGAGTATTTCCAACCCCTTCCTGGCTGAAACAGATAATAGAAAACACAAAACCAACCATCACAGTTCAATCTCTTTTTTCCTCCACGCTTTATTAGCACGACTGGAATAAAGTGCTGTGAACACGTACCCTCTCCATCTTCCGGGAGAATTGCTAATAAGTAATGAAAAGGCCAAAATCGTGCTGCTAGGAAAGGGGCCACGTAACCATTAGTCAGTCAGCACGACCCGAGGGTCACTCGCTCCGTACCGGTGACACCTCAGCAGACAGCTCAACAGGTCTGGTGGCTCTGGGGCCGGCTTCCTGAGGGCTTCTGCCAGACAGCACGTCCTCCTGCACCACCACCCCCCCGCCCCCACGACCCCCCTGCACAGCCTGGGGAACCAAGGGAGCTTCGTGCATCATCTGAAAACAATCTGGCTGATTTTAAGTGGGAGAACGCGTTCAACCTTTACTGCCTCCAGAGTTGAGACACTTTCCCAAGAGCAGCAGATACTGTTACCAAGCCCTTCTCTAAATCGTCAATTCACCTGGTGTGAAAACACAGTAAATGAATCCTAAGGATTAAATCGTAAAACACAACAAGAAGTAATCATGACAAATGCTAAAATATGTGTAAACTCTGTTAGCATTTTACATATGACCAAAGATTTCAGAGAAACAGGCATTAATTGTATACACTGACATTCAAAAATATTGAAAACACAATACCTCATCCAGCTCCTGAAGAGATATGTTGTTGCCATCAGCCCATCCAGTTAGGGACAGCAGGGGAAAAAACCAAACAAACAAAGGATGGGGACAGACAGACAGACAGATAAGGGATGGTCAGTTGAGAAAACACTGAGATTTCAAGCAACTTTAAAGTTGACTAAAAATACAGATCTACTAATAAAAGATTAAAAAAAAATCTCCCCCTTCTAATTCTTCCTTAAAAAAAACTATATCAGTATTTAATTTACTGTGTTTTTTACTTTTATTTACTGTGCTTGTTTTGGCAAAAGAGGTAGGAATCAAACAATAAACAATTGTAAAAGTTAAAATACAACAGAAATAAAACATACTTGTTTTAAATGCAATAAAATATAATGGTATTTCTATTTCACAAATGTCAAATAGCATATACAATATTCTAAATTTCCCTTAGGAAGACAAGAGAGCAAAGCTAAAACATAATTTCATTGTGTCAAATAAAAGTAAATTTTAGTGTGTAAATCAGTGCTGCAAATGCAGCAAAATCAGAACGTGAACAGCCCACAAGAATTGTCTATGGCCGTATTCAGATGATATTTGAGTGACCACATATGTAAGGGCTCTGCAAATTAAATCCCGCAGACACGGCTTCCTCCGTGGCAATAAGCAAGCCGAGAAACCACTTGTCCCCGGAGAGACACAGGTGGTACAAGAAAAGGAAAACTCTCCCCATTTGCTTGGCATGTATTATTATAAGTCTAGGAGGCACACTGTTATTATAAGGCTATTATTAAAAAAAGTAAAACAAAACCAAAAGGAGAGGTTTTTTTTTTTTAAGAGGAGCAGGAAGGAAGAAGCATCGGCAGGCAGAAGATTAAGTTTCAATTTAAAAGGAAAGGATCTTTTTACGATCAACATGGAACTCTATTTTCTAAACAGATCTTTACTAATGATAGATAATCTGAACAAATAGGTCCTTTTTTTCTTTAACAGTATTGATCACTGAAATACTTAGCGGTGAATTTCAATAATCAACTGTGTTGATTTTTTTTTTATCCTGAGCAGTAAATTTAGAAAATAAAAAAGACATAACTTCCTTATTTAAAAATTAATAGTGCAAATGAAACTGGTCTATCAGAGCCAAAATACTATTAAACAGTGACAGTAATAACAGTGTAACCACATAACATTCCTCCGTGTAAAAATTCAATTAGCTGACATTGTAGGAAGCTGAAAGGCCCCTTCATTCCTTCTACAGTTTGCCATGAGAGCAGAGAACTGTATTTCTGTGTATACCCTGCCACGACAGCAGTACTACAAGATGCTCATAGAGGAGACGGTGTCACATGCAAATCTCATTTAATTACCTTTTACTTTAATAAAAGAAAAACCTTTTTAAAAAAAAAAAAAGCTAACATTTTCAGCACGAAAGCACTGAGGTGCTTTTATTAATAATACAAGACACAGGCAAAACCCCTAATTTGGTATCTCAACCTGCACATCTACCCATTTCGCAGGGGTTCCTTGGCGTCTCATCTTTGGAAAAGTATTACTGCAAACCCTGGTTAAGATCTCTGCTGCACAGGAGCCTGGCCTCTTGGATTATTAATGAAGCACACAGCCTGATCTCAAGTCTCTGCAATTATTAGTTAACAAGAGGTGAAATCAGAATCTTGGGTATATTTTTCTTTTTTTCTTTTACAAATAAGAAAATCAAGTTTTAGAATATATAAATTCATTTCCCCAAAGTCACAGGGCTGAGATTCAGACAGACCCAGGTGTTCAGGCCTCTTTCTACCCCACCTTCCAGTCTCTCTACTTTTACCAGCACTTCAGGGAGTTACTAGTGATAGGCAGCTACTACCACATCACGAACTAGATTCAGGAGATTATCTTTTTGAAGCACATCAATCCCTCCGACTTTGCTACTTAAAATTAACAGGTTTTGAAACTCCCCCTGCCACCAATTCACCAGGAAACTTTGTCAAGACCTGAATTAAAACATTTAGAATTACCATCAGGAAAAACCAAAACAGAGCCAAAGAAAAACACGATACTACACATCATCACCTTCTAAATCTTTATAATGTCTAAATCTAGGCTTCTGACCTGCCAATGGCGTGCAATCAAGCAAATACTGAAAACTCCAAGCAGCATGTGGAATTTATAGTCTAAAGAACTTTCTACATAAAACTGAAAAATAAGTGGAAACCCATCTGTGTTTACTCAGGAAGTCTGGAAAAGTTGAGCAAAATGAGTTGGAAATACAGGTCTATGCTATAGTGATATTTACTTTATTTCCATTACTGCCAAAATAAAAGTTTGCTTCACTTTCATCCAACAAAGTACCCTTATTCTCAAGTAAGCCTCTCTGCTCAAATGGAATCTTTAGAAACAGAAAAGCAAATAGATCTAAAGAGAAATATACAATGATTTCATACTTGGATTCTAAAGACAGGGGACTAATTTTCCAACTGACTCGGCATGGACTAAAACTTAGAATCTTCAATGTGCAAATTAAAATGGACTGGCGTGATTGTCAAGTGAGATAAAGAAAGATGTTATAGTAAAATATATATATATATGTATATCTGTGTATATATACATTCTTTTAAACGGGCTCCTCCTTTCTCCGGGGCCTGCAGCACATGTCCGGGAAAAGCTGCCAGCACTCCTGTGGCCCGTCGGGTAGCAAGGGCTCACGGCCAGGCCTGCCTGTGTTCCTGCCCCAGCTCCCGGGCTCGCCCTGTGGGCGCCACTGAGCAAGTTTCCTAACTCCTTGAAACCTGTTTCCCGATCTGTATCAAGAGAAAAAAACAGCAGCACCTGTATGATAGAGCTCTGTGAGGACTAAGTGAGGCTACACGTGCAGGACAAGCCCCAAGCCAGGCACATAGCTCAATAAATCTTGGGCTAGTATCACTGTCAAGACTGAAGAAGGACTTCAGATTTCTTATAACGATATTTAACCTTCAGTCGCCCCCCCCCAAACACACCATGTGTTTTATTAAAAATAATGTGCTACTTTCAAACTAATCTAAGACCAATTAAGTTCAGCTTCCATTTATAGATTGTGTATTATTTTAAAGCAGAGAATAGATTAGGCAGTAAACCCTGACAAAGAAGCTCAAGTCCCCTTATAAGATCTTTTTCAGGAGATGAAAGGCAATCACATAGGTCACACAACACCTCATCAGATCAGAACAGCAACCCAGCATCTACCTGTCATTCGTTTAAGACTTTAGTTTTTTTTTTTTTTTGAGTGATTATTTAACACTATAAATTCTTAGCTTCCTAAAGCTAAGCTGCTTAAAGCTAAGCTGCCTGTAACTTTTTCAATGAGGTGTTGCCTTAAAACCTGCACTTGGCAGATGGAATGTCAAAGCTACTTCTCCACAGTACTGGAGCCACTTTTGAGGATTTTTGCGGTAACATCTGGCTGGTGGACAGGGCAATGCTGTTGACTATGATTTCCTCCTTTTCAAATTAAAGCTAAGACTGCAAGGCTTGGTTAGGAGAAACAATGCATTAAAAGAGAATTTGAGAAAGCACTGCTGAATCCACAGGACTACTTACTAGAAATCTCCCCTAACTCAAACCCTCAATTTACAAATCAGGCAAAAGATGTCAGAAGAGATTAAAAGCTTGCCCAGAGACCTACATTCTGAGTCAGCCAGAGTGTGACTTGGCCCTAAGTTCCCAGGTTTGGAGTCCAGTGCGCTTCCCTGTATTTCATGCTGCCCTGAGGCACAACCTTGATGGGCATCTGAAACTGAGGCCAAAGCAGAATGAATGGGAAATGGCAACAGCTGCACTTTGCTGGGAGTCTAAAAAAAAAAAAAAAAAAAAAATCAAACCCCTGGCCTTTCACAATTAGTTTTACTAATATCAACACAATGGGGAACACAGTTAAGTAGAATTTTGTTCAGTTCTGGGCGCTGAACTTTAAAATGCCCACGGGAAAAAACAAAACAAAAGAGAAAACTAGACTTCTTGCATAGGCAAGAAACTTAACTTCCCTGCCTGAGCCAGGATTGCTGAGTTACAGAAAGGTCCGGGGCACAAGCAAGCTGCACGGTTATCTGTCCTGCAGGAGAAGGAAGGGGCTTCCTGTGTCAGAGACCCTAGGGGCCAGGGCCATGGCTGGGATCACAGGATGCAGGACGCTGACAGATGGGGTTCACGGAGGCAAGGACTCTTTGGTAGTAAGAGAGGCGGGAGTGATGCCTGCCGGAATTTCCTATCCCCATCGCAGAAGGCAGTCAAGGCAAGCAGGCAGAGGGGTTATCACAGAGGGGATGTTGGGTCAAATGACCTTTAGGTCCCCCCCGGCCCTTCGGACTTTGTTTTGTCACTGCATATCCTCCTTCAATTCCTGCTCAGCTGTGACGTATTTGCCTGAAGGATGCAAAAACCTGTTTTAGTGTGCATTTATAGGTGCACACGATGAACCACACCACCCTCAACCACCAACTTCCAGTTTTCTCCTCCAACAAGGATGTAAAAAAAAAAAAAGCCTGTTTAAATTTTCTAAAGAATATACAGTTTTATGTGAGCTTTGTTTTGAGGTGTGTCATACGCACATTCACGCACAAACACCACTTTCCAATCAATTTCCACAGCTTTCACCCAAAATGAAGTGAAAATTCAGGCTTAAAAAAAAAAAAATTAGATGCGGTTTATTTCTAATTGTGAGATAATCTGCCCACCCCAAAATCAACTTCTACAGCCTTTTCTTCTAACTAGAAAGTAGAAATCTCAGTTTATGATTTTTTTAATTAAGTTACACACTAGAGCTTTGTTGTTTCTTTTTTAATTATATGAGTTTTAGTAAATATATACAAATTGTATTTTGTCTTGTGTTTTCAACATGACAGGTATTTATTTTTTAAGTTTTTATTTATGCCTTTTCATGCACCCAGAAAAGTATGTAAAATGGCACAGCCTCCCCTGAAATACTCATCAGGAGACTTAACAATTAGTAAGTAACACTCTGCCTTATTGTTTCCTTTATTGTGTGTGTGGGGGGGTGGTGATTAACTATATAAAGTAAGTGATATCTGGACATTTCAGTAGATCTCACTAATAAATCTAACACATTTATTGACTTTTAATTAATTTCTTAATATCACCTAAAACCAGTCAAATTTGACAGCATTAATTTTCTTTGATTTGCTACAAGATTTTGAAATTTACAACTCAGAAGCGAGGTTTTTAAAATTTGTATGAGCTAGATATGCAATTAAAAATATTATTTAATAAAGTTTTTAAAAATTGTGTTAGACATGGCTTTTTCCCCAAAATGTTTACAACATTTTTTCAACTTGCAGAAAAGCTGAAAATATTATACCCTCTATGCAGTCATGCTGTCTTGCCATATTTGCTTCTGTATGTAAATGTAGAAATGGTTTCTGTAGAATCAATTGCAAGCAAGCTGAAAATATAATTCACCCCTAAACACTTCAGAAATCTATGACATGCCATGTGTTTTTTAATGCACACAAAAAATATATAAACATGTGACGTATTTAATTCTAAAGTTAGGCAAACCATGTTTGTTTAACTGCAAAGTCTATTTTTCGATAATCTGAATTGACTACAAGGATTTTTTTTAAGGACATTTTAAAAGATCTTATTCTTATAAGGATCTGAGAAAGATTTTAAATAGTCAAACCAATATACATAACATTTTCAATGGTATATTATGTAGAAAATATTTTTTAGTGTTCTGAATTAGGCATGTATTTTCAGTTTGACTTAGAAATCTATTTTCAAGAAAATGTCTCAGTTAGCTAAATATACCTGTACATTTTCTGACATATCTATTTTTCCAACTTGTACACATGAGCTATATATTTTAATTATATGGTTTAGTTATATATATATATATTTAAAATTGCCTAAGAAATCCATTTAAAAAATAGGTTTTACTTAGAGATGCACCTTTAAAAAAAGGCCGGCTCAGACATCAGGTTTTTAAACTGTCTGACCAAATGGTTAACAACAACAAAAAAGCCTCACGTTATCCTATGGTTTAGTGTATTCTGAACCCTATATGGTTAAAAATTTTAAAGCAAACATGTTTTAAAATCAGAAAACTAATATTTTAGAAATATTAATATGAGTTTTAGTTGTTTTTTTTTTTTTACTTTCTACAAGGTAGCATAAAATCAAGCCATTTGAGGAAAATGCAATTTTTAAATCTTAGCAAAACTAAGGTTCATTGAGGATTTTTTTCCCCACTGAATTTCTACTCTCTATTTCTTAGTTTATTTCAGGACATTCTTTTCAAAATTAGTGCTGGAATTAGCCTGTTTTCAATTTTGCACTTACTTCAGTATATTACCTTTCTTTTTTTTTTCAGTTTACAAATGTAAAAAATCTTCAAATTCTCAAGTAACTGAAAACCTACACACACTCGGTCAGTCCCTGTTTTCTATGCTTTTTGATTTAAGTTTACCGTGATTTTATTCCTAAAGCTGCTCACACAGTTTACAATAGCTTTTCTACATAAGCAAGATGGACAAATACATTTTCCTTTTGTGATTAACAAAAAGGAAAAACTGTCTTTGTAGGTGCTCTGTCAATAATCAAGACAGATGGCCAATTTTTTTGTGAAGCATTTAGATCAAGTCATAAAAAATTTAAAAGGAATATAGTCTGTAACAGGTGAAGTAAGTGTCAGAGCCCCAAAACTGCTTATGTCAAGCATAATCCCCAAGAATCCAGTCTTGGGGTGATTTTACTCTCCCCACAATGCTGCTTCTATTCAAACCCAACCTGTCTACAGCCAGGAGCCCCCCTTACAAATTAGTTTCATATCTTTTCAATTTAGGCTACCCAGGGCTCATCATCACCCTCTTGTTTAGACCATCTGCACCCACTTCCTTGTTCAACAGAGCAGGAGATTGAGGTTTGGACTGGGAAAGTAGCCCTTTATCATAAACAAACAGGAAAACAACAGTCATCCTTCCAGGTTTTCCCTCTAAAAGATTCTACAGCTGGGCTAAAGGTTCAGGTTAATTAAACCAAAACGGTGGACTATTTGGGGGGTTAATTTTCACATACACACCACGTTCGTTTTAAAAAGTTCTTATGGAAGAAAAAGCTTAATTTCCTGTTTGGGAAATAGAAAACGAAGAAGCAAGCACCTTACAGCCTCACAAACAAGAACCCCCATGAAAAACAGCAAAGCAATTATTCACAGGGAACACGGGCACACAGAGGGCTGCGAGACCATTAAAAAAAAAACAAAAAACAAAAAACAGCTCCCCCCCCCCCAAAAAAAAACCCAACTCCTTCCTCTCTAGGGAGGGCATCGTTCATTTGCAAGGATTTGGATCTGCCAGCCTGCAAACCGACCATCAGAACCAAAGTGAGGCTGTCTGCGGGGGCGGACGGGGGAAGGAGGGGGGCGCTTAAAACAAAACGGAACAAAAAGGCTTCAGGAAAAAAAGCCTCCAAATCTCAGTGCTAAAACATATGTAAATTGGAGGCGCCGGTCGCGCGGGGACAGTCAGGGGGGGTGGAAGGGGGAGGACGAAGAGGGATGCGGAAGTGAGGAGAGCGTGCAAGGCAGAGGTGGAGCAGGATCTAGATGCTTCTTCCCCAGCCAGGGTTATCGAAGCTCGCGGACCCCAGCCAACAGACCCCGCATTTCCATGCTAGTCTTATCTTCTTTTTTAAACAGAGACACAGACACAGACAGACAGACAGGCAGAGCCGCAGTGCACACAGGGCGTGTGTCGGAGAGGCCGCCTGGAGACTCACCGCAGCAATGCTACGTGAATGCAGAGGGCTGGAGGTGGTGTGACTACTCACTTGCTCGGCTAACAGCTGCCGGTTTTGGATGGAATTATTCCGCAACAACAAGAAAGCGTCGGTTAAACGCCTCGTGGCCATGTCTCACCCTTTGTGACCCCCAGCTCAGGGGCCCCCTGCCCACTTAAGAGTCCAGGTTTATTCACTTTCTTTCTCTTGGCCTGGCCTGGTCCCCTTCGCAGGCCTGCAGCCAAGCAGGTGCTGCTCTGTGCTTCCTCTGAGCGCAAAGACCCCTCCCCAGCTAACACCTCGGCTTTCCAATTGTCTGACTCCCCCTACCCAGGGCCAGCCTTCGATCTCTAAGCACTTAAATCCCCCCAATCCTTGCGTTGCTAGCCAACTTCCCAGAGACCCCTCCCCAATCCAACCTTGGATCTACAAGCGTCTAACTGGCCAATCCGGCTTTCGACTGGGAGACTCGGAAGCCCCCTACCACATCAGTCTCTCACACCCCCTAGGGCCCGAACCTCCTGTGTCTAACTTGGCTCACACGCGTCTGGGCCGTGCTTTCAGGCCTGCCTCTGGCTCAGTTTGCCCTCCAGAGGCCTGAGAGGCCTGCTTGAGGGCCCCCTTTGGACAACCGAGCCAGGCCTGGGCCCTGAAGGCCTGCTGTTTCCTGCTGGGGCCTGGTCTGAGCCCTCTAAGGCGGGGGCCCCGACCTCCTGACCCCTTCCCTTTATGGGTGGCCTGGTCCTCCACTGCCACAGCAGGCTGCCGGCCTCCAGGAGGGCAGCAGAGCCTGCTTCCACGGCCTCCTCACTCCTCTTCTCCGGCTCCCTCCATCCCCGGATCTGACTGCTGCTCAGCCCCGGGGCCGTTTCCGTGCTGTGGGTCCCGGGTTCTGGCGTTCCCCCCTGGCCCTCTTCCTGTCCGTCTCTCGAGAGTGCCCCCCTGCGACGTTCACAAGGCTTGCTCGCAACGTTCCGGGCGCGGGAGATCCCTACCCCCCTGCCCCGGGGCACAGGAGCGCTCCGCCCTCTCCCGGGGCGCAGCCGGGACGCTGGGTTCCCCCTTGCCAACTGGGCCCAGGCGCTGAGAGCGGGCCTTCGGGCAGGCCTGAACCTTGAGAACGTGGGCCCCACGTTGCAAACAACTGCCAGGGGCCTTGGCGCGCTTGTCAGAGTGGAGTCGAGCGGCAGGCAAATTTGGGCTCCAGCAGAGCCGAAGTTTGAGGCGCGCGGAGTTGGGGCGGGAGAGGAAAAGTTGGAGACGACTGCCTCTTGGAGGCCGAGCACGCTCCACTGCAGGCGGCGGCTCGCTCTCGCTTTGGTTTTTTTTTTTCCCAATTCTGAAAAAGAAAAAAAAAGGTATCAGGAAAACATGCGGGGGGGGGGGGGCGGGGGGAAGCAAAAGCTCCAGCGAGAGCTGCAAGCCGCCTGGGCCTTGCCGCCGCCCGCAGTCGGGGGTCGTGGGGACCTGCCCGGCTGCCGCGTTCTGTAGGGGGCACTGCAGGGTTGTACAATCTCAAGTGGAAAAGTTCCCCGAAACTTTGACAGCCCCCCGCCCCCATCCACTTCTCCCCGCCTAGTGGGCCCACGCGCCCGTGTGCCCAGCCGGGCCCCGCGCCCCCCGCACCAGCAGCCCGCTTTCCCGCCCTGGAATTGGGTCGGGGAGCCCCCCCCGCCCCCCGCCCCGCCAGCACTTGGTTGCGGACTCGGGTTGGCGGGATTTGGGCAGGGCTGCGCTGGGGCGCATTGGAATCGAGGCGCCCGAGCCCGAGCGCGGCAAGCAGGGGCCAGGTGATCGCCCCTCGAGCGAGGCCCGAGTCCTGCGGGGTGTCCTGCCCGGGGCCACACCACGGGCCTTAGGAGGCCTCCCTACTGGCCGCACGAGGTCACCCCCGCAGCGCCCAGAGGCCGAAGCCCTAGCCAGAGACAGCCTGGGCCGGGCGCGCGGGCCCGAATGGGTCGGGGTCGTGGAGCTGGGCAACCGCGCCTCCCCAGGGTCTCGGAGCTGGGGCGGCACCGGGTTCCCCTTCTCGGGGCAAGCCGGGACCACCGTGGGGCCGCCGGGCCGCACTCGAGAGTGTAGTCTTAACAAAGGAAAATCGCCCCGGCACTCGGGAACGGCCCCGATCCCCGCAATTGTTTCCGCATGAAACAAACTTTACACATACACGTGCATTTTCCGAGCGTCTTCCCCGTGCTAAGCGCCGAGTTTGCAAAGGAAAGATAGCAAACAAGGGAAACACAAAGCCGGTATCGGCGCTCACAAAGGGCGGCCGCCGGGGCGCGGGGCGAGGATCCCGCCGGATTTCGCCGCGTCGCTGGAGGCACCCTATACATACATATATACATACATATAATTTTATTTTCTAAAGGAGAACGTTTCTGTGCATCTGTTGTGTAACTAAAAATTACTGTGAAACCTATTTTCAGGAGGGAAATGTCCAAATGCATAAAAAGAACCCGGAGAGCCAGAGAGCAGGGCTGGCGCGTTGTTTTGGAGGAAGGGGCTGTGGTTTCCGGAGCCGGGCTGTGGGCGAGGGGCATGAGCAGGGAAGGGGGCTCGTTCGCGGGCTTTCGCGGACGTTGGACGATGCCCCGGCGAGACAAAACCTCGCCGCCCCGTGTCACCGCGGACAGCAAGCTGCCTGCCTCTCCGAGCCGGCGGCTGCGGCGGGAGAAAGCCGCTGCTCCAGAGACAGGGACCCCGGTTATCTCGGGGAGGGAAATCAGGGAGCCTGTGTGCGGACCCCCGGCAAGCTCGGCACCCCGGGACATATGTGCCTGTTTGCCGAAAGAGGGACAGTCCTGTCCCCACCCACAACGCGTGCGATCCCCGCAGTGAGACCTGACCCAAGGCGCACGGCTAAGCCCCCTACTCCTGCTTCGGAGAACAGACCATGTAAATAACAACCGAGCCCGGTGTTAGGCAAGACATCAGATAGAAACGTGGTCGGCGTCGTGTTCCTTTCGCTGGAGCTCTCATCACCTTGCAAAGCAGGGACATATTTACTTGTGGCTTTCTCCCCCAGGCTAGAACGCGATCTTCTTGCCTGGCGCCGTGTTTTAGTGTTTTATTCATCTTTGTACCCTCGGCCATTACATTAACTTGGTACTAGGCTTCGGATAAATGTTTTTTAAATATGTGCATGAGTGAATTGGAGACCTGAGATATCCTCCACAAACTCTCTGACCGCCCTGGAGTGACTTTAAGCCTTTAGAGCCATTAACAGCTAGGAAGGGGAAAATGTGGGGTTTTAATAATCCATGTAATGTGTTCCCTGTCTTCCTCCCCGGGGCTATTGTGAAGATCCAACAGGCTAAGTGAAAACCTTTGTCAACTATCAGGTGCTGAGCAAATATTATATAGGATAGCTGTTCATTCATTCCCTTTGCTGGGAAAGCTTTACAGACTCCTGGGCTTGTGTTTCAGTAGATGGTGGTCACCCTTCCTGGTCAGTCTTAAATGTTTTTTGCAGGACAATCTTGTTCTTACGTTTAGGAAATCAATCAAGCTTCCATTTCTTTGTGAGAAATGAACAGGCACTTGCTCACATAAATAATGGAAGAAAAATCCTCGTATTCCCAGAACAGCCACCTCAAGCAACCCAAGAGCCCAAGAGCACGGAAACCATGAAGCATCCATGAGATTGGCATAGCAACCCGAAGGCAGCACCGTGCAGTTAGAATCCGGCTGCATCCAGACATGGGATCGTGTGCGTGAAATAGTGTTAAGTGAAATGGAAGCCCTGGCTGGGACACGCACCCTGGTATAGACCATGTCCAGTCTGTGTACACCCTGACCCATACTGGGAGTGAGGTGGGTTGGTGGGGGGAGGATATAAATCATTATATTTGAATGTTCCTTGGCTGTTTTATTTTCCTGTCAAGTGGCTTAAGCCTGACTTTTTTTTTTTTTTCAAGCATTCCCTCATGGCCAAGTATGTGTTTCCTTGGAATTGAAATCTGGGTTGATGGTTTTATATTTTAAAAGCTTTCTTTGTGACTCATTCTTGGCCTGCGATAGGATTCTGTAATACTCCCCAAGCTCACAGAGCCTGGGTGTCCTGTTTCTTGGGCTTTGTACCCACTTTCTAACATTTTGTCAGTGGATCCAAGAAGTCACTTTGGGAGACAAGTGTTTCATTGTCTTCTTGTCATCGTCATCAGTGCGGAAGGGAACCATAAACATGGACTTTCCCAGCAGAAGACAGATAATGGCAGAGGCAGGAGGAGGTTTTCAAGTGCTGACAGGTTAGTGGTTGGACAAAATGGGTCAGCAGGGCGAGACCCACACCCTTCAGGGAAGACATTTAGATGAGATAGGGCTCACGGAGCCCTCACTCCATGGGCCAGCACGTAGTAAGTGCTCCTTATATGGCCATGTGGTTGATTTCAGCAGCACAAAGGTCACACAGGCTACATACCCCGCTGGAAAGCTTCACAGCAAACTCCAAAGTGTTTGGAGTATGGGGGTGGGTCCTGAATACCTTTTAAGATTCAGATTCTATGGTTTAGGAATCCAGATGTGTCTAAACAGGTGGAAAAAGGGTTGAAACAGTCTCAAATGGACACCTCTTAACTTGGGCCTTCCTAGCTCCTCTTGGAAGACAGATGGTCATTGTTTTTTTTTTTTTTCCCTAAATCAGGATGAGCAACAGAAGCCCCCGAGTCTAATGAATGTCTCATTTGCACAGATCTGACATAACAGGCAGATTCTGGCCAGATTCAGGAAACAGGAGCTTTGTGTTCTGTCACCCCAAATAGCTCCTCAAAACCCTGAGCATTTCCAACCTCTGGAAACTCCCTAGCTCTGTCTGCCTCTAGCCACGACACCTCTCATGAGCAGAGAGATGCCGCAGAGAGGCAAGTTTTGTTTTGTCCAGACTCCATTAGGTTTTTATATTCAGGAAACATTTCTAAAAAATCTTCCAGTGGCTCTGCCTAGCTCTTGCCAGGCACTGCTAAAAGGGCTGAAACAGAGCAAAACTCTTGCCTTCAAGGAATGCAGCCTCCATTAACTCTGCCCAAATGCTGGTTCTCGTTGTGTGTGTTTCTCCAGCAGCCTAACACATGCTCTCTCTTCCCTCCATCCATCCTCTACCCTGCAGCCATGGTGACCTTTCCAAAGCACAAATCTCATCATGTCACCGCCTGATTGAGGCTCTGAAACAGCTCCCTCTGGCCCATACCAGTGACGTTCAGCAGAAAACAGGTGCTCTCCAAGCCAGGCCATCGCTAATAGTAACTAATGATGGTCTTTGCTTGGTTGGCAGAAAAAAAATTAAGCTAATTGATGGAATAGTCTTCCATGTTAAGTGTCTCTCCCCCTCACTTTTTCTTAAGCTTTTGGTCCCTGCTACCCCTTGGCTGTTTAGAATATAGTATAAGACTATATCTGATTTATTCAAGAATCACGAACTTTACTGAAACTGTCTTTTCACATCTCAATATTTCCTGGGAACTTCCCTGGTGGTGCAATGGATATGGAACCAGGTCTGGGAAGATTCCACATGCCTTGGAGCAGCTAAACCCATGTGCCGCAACTACTGAGCCCTAGCTCTGGGGCCTGTGCTCCACAACAAAAGAAACCACCACAATGAGAAGACTGTGCATTGAAATGAAGAGTAGCCCTGGCTCGCCAAAACTGAAGAAAGCCCTTGCAAAGCACCAAAGACCCAGCACACCCAAAAATAAATAAATAAAAATTTTAAGAAAATGTCCTGTTGTTCTGCATGTATGTGTTCTAATGGTGGGGGGGTGCCCTGGGAGGGAGGCCAGGCATTCAAGACCCTTCCCAACAGCTCCTACCCCTCAAGCAGTGTGCTTGTCCCTCTCCAGGCCTTGGCTTATGTGGTTTTCTCTGCCTAGATTGTGGGTCTTTCCCCTTTTGCTTTGTGAACATTTCCTTCATGTCTTAGCATCACCCGTTGTCTAAATGTCACAAATGTTTATGGAATAGATGAGTGGATGGATTGACAGATGGAAAGATGAGAGGAAATATACTCGGGACCAGCATATACCAGAAGGTCAAGTCGCCTGCCTCTGTCCCCACCCCTCACTCATCTTACTCCAGCCACACTGGCCTTCCTCCTGGTTCTCAAACCACCTTAGAAGTTGCTGTTCCTGCCTATTTAGTCTATTCACACAACTGGCTCCTTCTCAGGACCCAGGTCTCAGACCATCTCATATAAAGTGATCCCCCAATCTTGTCGGTGCAGTCAGAAAAGGAATGTCCTCTCCCAGGGCCCTGGGCCATCATGCCATGGGACTGTGCTGGATCAACTTCAAGACGCAAAGAACATCTAACCTCACAGCTTTTGGTCTTGGAGGTCCACAAAGAAACCTCTTAGGTAACAGCTCACACCAGCAAAGCATACCTTTGGTTTTCTTCTGTAGGATGATGTTGACACGTGTATCATCAAATAAATCAGCCTTCCTGTCTTCACCATCTTCCTTGGCAAGAACAATTAGTTGAAGTGCCAAGCTGGGGCTGACCGGGATGACTCAACCCTTGAAAAATATAAAGGAAATCATTGTATTTTCTCACTAACAGGTACTGAGACTCAGCCAGCTCCTCCATTTCTAGTTTGTTCTCACCCCCACCCCCATGGCAGTAACCACTGGCCTGACATGGTATTCTGAGTGATGTCAAGTACAGAGCTGGACCCAGTCTTCTCCAGATGCCACTCTGGTAACCAGCAGCCTCTCATTAACCATGTGGCTTTGTAAGAGTCAAAACTCCTTGGGCTGCAAGGGACAGACCCAGAGCAAATTGGTTTACGCTTAAAAGCAAATGTATTGGCCCAAATAACAAAAGAAAGAAAGAAAAGGAAAAAGAAAAAAGAAGAAATATCTAGGCGTAGCTGGACCCAGAGGGTAAATGGTATCCATAAGAGTCTATTTCTCAGCTCTTCCTTGCTCTGCAGGGTTTTCATGTTCAGGCTAGTTCTCCCCAGGAGGTGGTAAATTGACGTCTGGAAGCCCAGCTCTGGCGTCTCACACCATAGCAACCCCAGTAGAAAGTACACTTTCCTTTCTTAATGATTTCAACAAAAGTCTAGAATTGATTCTCATTGGCCTGTCTTGAGTCCCATCCTCATCCCTGGACCCTAAAATGCCAAGCTAATGGCCAGAAAGTAGTGATCATCTGATTGGTTGGGCTTGGGTCATGTGACCACTTCCGGACTCAGGAAGGTGAGGGTGGCCAGGTCTGAGTCACTCAAACAAGAAGCACGGTGAGCTTCCCTTTTTTGAAGTCACTGTGTTGAGGTTCCCAAGGCTTCCAAGGTGCCACAGTGGTAAAGAATCTGCCTTCCTATACAAGAGATGCAAGAGAAAAGCGTTCAGTCCTTGGGTTAGGAAGATCTCCTGGAGAAGAGAATGGCAACCCACTCCAGTATTCTTGCCTGGAGGATTCCATGGACAGAGGAGCCTGGTGGGCTACAGTCCATGGGGTCACAAAAAGTCAGATATGACTGAGCACACACACATACAACAATAACACATGTGTTGGGCCCAAGAAAAAGAATGCTGGGTACTATATGCAGCAGATTTCTGCCTCAGGCCAGTTTTCAATCCTTACTCTGTGCCCTTCACACATGGCCATCTGCCTCTCCTTAAAACTTACTCCCTCGTTTTCAGTCTGTCTGTAGGCTGGTCCCCAGATGTTCTGTTCTTGCTGTCGCATCTTAGCCTTCACCTGCCTGTGGTTTCAGATACCAGACCCCATCGTGTCCACCCGCACAGAGCCTCCTAGATGTCCTGCCCACCCTTCAGTGAACCGCTGGCTTCCTGCCTAGGTATGCTCCCCCTCCTCCTGGATCCTTTATCTATGGCACCAAG